ACAGCTGTAAACATCCATTGAAAATTGCGACATGGAATGTATGAAGTATGAATCTGGGAAAATTGGAAGTTGTCAAAAATGAAATGGAAAGAATAAACATCGGTATCTTAGGCATTAGTGAGCTGAAATGGACTGGTATTGGCCATTTTGAATCTGACAACCACTATGCCGGGAATGACAAATTGAAGAGGAATGGTGTTGCGTTCATTGTCAAAAAGAACATGTCCAGATCAGTCATGAGGTACAACGCTGTTTGTGATAGAACAATATCCATGTGCCTACCGGGAAGCCCAGTTAATACCACTATTATTCAAATTTACGCACCAACCACTAAAGCCAGTGAGGAAGAATACTACCACCTTCTTCGATCTGAAATTGATCAAACATGCAATCAAGATGTATTGATCATTACTGGTGATTGGAATGCAAAGCTTGGGAGCAAAGAGGAAGGATCAGTTGTTGGAAAATATGGCCTTGGTGATAGAAATGATGCTGGAGATAAAGAATTCTGCAAAACCAATGATTTGTTCATTTCAAATACTTTCTTTAGACAGCATCAGAGATGACTCTACTCATGGACCTCACCAGAAGGATTACATAGAAATCAAATTGACTACATCTGCGGAAAGAGACGATGGAAAAGCTCTGTATCATCAGTCAAAACAAGGCCATGGGCAGACTGTGGAACAGACCATCAATTACTCATATGCAAATTCAAACTGAAGCTGACGAAAATGAAAACAAGTCCACGACAGCCAAAATATGAGCTTGAATATATCCCACCTGAATTTAGAGATCATCGGAACAACAGAGTTGATACATTAAACACTAAAGACCAGAAGAGTTGTGGGATGACATCAAGAACATTATACATGAAGAAAGCAAAAAGTCATTGAAAAGACAAGAAGAAAGGAAAAGGTCAAAATGGATGTCAGAAGACACACTGAAACTTGGTTTCCAGTGTAGAGATGCTAAATCAAATGGAAGAAATGAGGAGGTACAAGAGCTGAACAGAAAATTTGAAAGATTAGCTCAAGAAGATAAGGCCAAATAACCAAATGTGCAAAGATCTAGAATCAGAAAACCAAAAAGGAAGAACATGCTCAGCATTTCTCAAGCTGGGGGAACTGAAG